AGTGAGAGAGAGAGAGAGAGAGAGAGAGAGTGTGTGTGTGTATAACTCACCTGCCTGCACTGCTTTGACGTACTCCAGAATGACCTTCACGCGACTGTGCAGCATCTTTATAGCGCTGTGCTGAGCGATCAGATGCTCCGCCACTGACAGAAACACACAAACACGGTTTAATCACACACACACACACACAGACCAGCACCTGTAGTGTGTGTGTGTGTGTGTGTGCCGGTGGAGTTCTCTCCTGTCCCGATGGCTGTCATCCGTGCGACGTGATCGACTCCGATGCGCTCTGCTTCTTCTGTCGCTAGTGTATATGGCAGCTCAGCAAACAGCATAGTCGCCTAGCAAAGAGGACAAAAGGTTACGACCTCTGACCTCCAAACTAAAGACGGGTTCAAACACAGACTTCATGTGAACGATGTGAGATCAATCTTTGAGCGAGTGTCTCTGTCCGAGACTGAAACACATCAGAGCTCAGATCTTCACATCAACTCTATCACACGCTTTCTGAAATATTATGTTTGAATCTGCAAATGAGGTATTATCTAATTAAACATGCACAGATTTGCATTCAGTTCCAGCACATAAATCTGATAACTGGATAAAGTCAGGTTCATTCTGGTCTGATTTTGTTCTTATATTAGAGTTGAAGGTTTTTTCAGAGAGGATTCTAGATTTCTCTTTTCATCGCTCCATAAATCAGAAAACACTGTCAACAGACGGAAAACAAACACATTTGCACCATGTTTTAGGAGTGAAAGATTTTAGATTTCTCTTTAAAGATTGAAATCTACAGAAGCAAATAGATAAAGTGCAATAAAATAAACACTTAGATGTGTGTTTCGGATGTTTTCTGTGCACTAGACTGAAAGAAGAGATGATCTGGAGCAGAGCAGACAGAAATCTCTAAACTGAGCCATGAATGAAACACTGCTTCAGTCTGTTCTTTATGTTGATGATCTGTTAGTGTCAGTCCAGCTCAAGTGCTCTAGATAAAGCTGCTTGATTTTCCTCATGTTTTGAGAGACGACCTTTATGTATTAGTATCGCAAAGCCACCAGCCTTTTATTTGTATTTGTCATGTCACAAAACAGAGTTTGGTTCTAGAGATGCGGACGAAACATTACACATTATACTGTACATGAACTTCAGAAACATTAGACCTGGAGCTCAAGTCTACACGCCATGATCAAGATCACTGCAAGTGAAGACCTGCCAACCTTTTGTCTGCACTCAGTTTGGGATATTCCTGTTAAACAGTATTTTAGAGTAAACAGTACAGTTAACCCACAGTTCAATAAATACCTCGGCTTTTTAACCACAGTTTACGGTTTAGTTATTTTTTGCTATTTTTAAATGCTACTTAAATAAAAACTTCTTTAAAACTCCAGTACACTTCTGTATACATGGATTATCATATGTCTACTTCAAATTTCTTTTGAGAGAAGTTTTATTTTTATGGATTGGCCATAATTTAGTGCTATGAACACATGTAATGTGTGTTTCATTCATACTGAAGAGAAAGAAAATCCACATATGCATCACAGAAGACAGAGGTCACAACGCCCCAGGAAATCACTAATATGGACAAAAGCATCCAGCTATCATGTAACTGAATGAAAGACGACAGAAACACTTTGAATGATGACATTTAAAGAGAACATTAAGACAAAAAACACTCTACTGCAACAATGTTTATTTAAAGGGGTCATATGATGCGATTTGAAAGTTGCAAAGACTAAAGTCTCAAATCCAAAGAGATATTCTTTATAAAAGTTCAGAGTCAGCCACACCTACCTAAAACGCCTCGTTCTAACACGCCCCCACATATCTACCTCACTATGTGGGAAGATTTGCATAACTCTATCCCGGCCTCAGCTCACTCTAGGCCTCAGCTCACTCTAGCCCGGCCTCAGCTCACTCTAGCCCGGCCTCAGCTCACTCTAG